GGTTCTTAAAGTTTTATCAGACCTTGAAGTAAAAAAATCTTATTCCTGTTAGTTTGTACTGTGATAATAAGTTTGCTATACAAATTGCTAATAATTATGTTTTACACGAATGAACTAAACATATTGAAATTGATATTCATCATGTTCAAGAACAAATTAGTAAAGCTGTTTTAAAGGTTGTAAAAATCCTTTATTCTGAACAACCTGCCAATATTTTTACAAAAGCCCTGGGATTAATCATCACAATTATTTGTGTTCAAAATTAAGGATGATTCATTTGTTTAAAAGTCAAGATTGAGGACGAGTGTTAAAATATATAAAAATGTATGCAATCTTGATTGTCTTAACTATTGTCCTTAGTTTGTCAGGATATTAACTGGCAATGGTATAAAGTGTTGATTCTATGAAGTTGTGTTATTCGAGATCCTTGAAGGAGTGCGTCTCATATATTGGGAGACTTAAGGGGTAGCGGAGCACATTGTCTACATTTCCAAGGACTATTCTTGCCACATTCCAGAAAATATATAAACGAGTTTTTTTATTGATCCGGCTCATAATCCATTTTGCAAGATTCATTTTTAGCTCTCGTTTCTCTCTCTAGATCTTTCTATCTTCTTCCTTTTCTATCTTTAAGCTAGATTAACATACATTCGTTATTGTTCTTATCTTAGCTTTAGTTTTCAGATTCTTGTAGATTGTATATTTTTGTATGTTGTTTTTTGTTGATTCATGAAATAAAACTGTTTTCTTCAAGTTTGTACAGTTTTAACATGGAAGAGGAAGTGAGGAGACTAACAATGGCTACCGGTGGCCAAATGTGGCTACCAGCGGTGGTGGCGGCAACGATTAGCGGTGCTGACCACTAAACAAATATCATATTAAGGTTATACGTCAAATGAAGGTTAATTAGTAATATTTTAGTTTATGTCTCATTCTTGTCCCATTTTGTTCCACATATTTTGGTAGAACAATAAAAAAAAACATTTTTTGTCTCATGTTGTCCATGTCCCATGTCGCATCAAACGTGAGATAGTAAGTTTTTGTCATGTCTCTTGTCACGTCAAACGTAAAACAATGAGTTTTGTCTCGTCTTATCATGATCTGTCTGTCTTATGTATCAAAAGCAACCATAATAAGTTAGGATATGTTATACATTTAAAATATATTAAATGGATTATGATCTTCTAAACCAACGTAATTGGATTGAATTGTCTCAAACCGCTAAATACAATTTGTGCCAACCAATGTTCGCAACCAAACCTAGTCACCCAATTTTTGTAACCAATTCGTCTACGCATTCTTCAACTTCAATCCAAATATTCAACCTAACTTTTTTTCGTTCATTAATGATTACAACTTAACTTAATATATTTTCATAAAAATTATCTATTTAATCATATATTATTTTAATATTTATTATACGTAATAATTAATTGTATATAAAAATAAGACGATAAGTTATATTTTTAAGTGAATCAAAAATTAAGAATTTTGAGCGGTTTTGGTTTATCAATAGAGCATTTGATAAAAAAAAAATTAAAAACTATTTTTTATTCATGAAATGTATATTACTTAAAATTTACAATTACAAGTAAATTGTACGTAAGTATAACTCATTAAAGCTCTATTTTTGAATTCGTATAACTAAACGCTGATAAACATCTCATTTTAAATATAAAAAATCTAAAATATAATTAAGATAGAATCATTATTTTTATAAAAATTATATTGTTAAGCTAAAAATAAATTACTTCGGTATTAAACCTAAATTAAATTATAATAAAAGATTGAATTAAATAAATTATACAAAAAAAACGAAAACTTATAAATTGTTAATTTAATATTAATATCGATATATTTTTTCAAAATTTTATGATATTTTCAAATTCATTTTTATTCGAAAGCAAAACGTTATCTTTATCAAAACCACATAAACCGTATTATATGTCAACAAAGACAAAATAAAACGAAGCATTAAAATGAACATGTATCTCGTTGCACTGTACGAGTACCCTTCTAGTTATTTAAAAATAAAAATAATTTATAACTTTTAAAATTAAATAAAACAACCAATAATCACTTGCCAAATGTTTTCAAGTATTTTGCCCAACATTGGATTGTTGACACTAAAAGCATTTCTGGATTTCATATATTTTCGTTTAAAATAGAAAAATTAGAGGAAAATTCGAAGTTTAAGAAACTCTATGCATTGTAGGTTATTAGTAACTCTTTATTTTGATAGTTATTTATTTTTTAATAATCTTAATTTTTTATTTATTCTATACCCACTTTGCTTCATTTTCCTTTTGATTTAAAAGGTTTCTAAGATGTGATAAAATGTCAGAGAATTTATTTTATTCCAAAAACCATCACTATTGAGCTGTGCCTGTTGTCTGCCCATTGTGGCTAAATTCAAGATATATTTGAATAAGATCATGTGTTCTATTTCTGGTCACTTGGAGCTTCCAAAGCTGAAAGTCAATCTAAAAATTTCACAAGAACATAAAAGAAAGAGTCATTTTGTATTTAATTTCAAGTATTACATTTCTGATCACTATGGTAACAGTTTTTTAGTTAAAATTCAATGCAATATTTCTTGTGTATTTCTCTACTTTTACCATGTTCTTTAATTTTATTATGAGTTAATTACCTATTTGAATGTGCGTATGAGTCAAAGTTAAGACTAGTATGCACCATTTGAGTGTTGTCAATATTGTTAATTCTTAAATTGGTCACTTGAGTCAGGACTTTAACTCAATACGGATAAGATGATCATCTTTAAGTGTTAAAATTATATCCTTGATCCAGAGATGGAAGTATTCAATTACAGCTTAGGTAATGCATAAAGATTTGAAAAAAGTCTTTGATAATCACGTAGAGATACTAACTTTATATGATTTTTGCTAAGGTTTAAATATTGGTTGAGATTTGCACCATAAAGATATTTGAGTATAAATTTTCATACTAATGGAACTTAATATGTTATATCAGTTAGCTAAATTGGCAAACTTAGAATCTAGGATATAAATTAATGTTTTTTTCATCCTCACAAATTAAATTGAATTATTATTATTTTAGGTAAATTCTTTTAAAAACTATAATTTATTTTTAGAATAATTTAATAATATAATACACATTAAGATCTCTAAAATATAGAATATGTTGGAAATGCTTTTACATATGCTTAAAGTCAAAATTTCTAACAGAAAAAATTTATATGTATCTCCAACAGCTTTTCTCATATGACAATATTAATTATATTACTAAAATAATCAATACAATTCATTAAATATTATTTCTCTCTTCTAAACATGTAAATTTAAGGAATTTTTTTTACAGGAGATCTTAAATCATTTCTTTTTTAAACGATAAATTTGGAGAGTATCATTTTTTTCTTTCTCATTTTCTCTATTTTAAATAATATTTTTTTTTTAAAAAATTGTAACAAAAATCCTTAAATATATACTTCAAGAATTTATTTGTTTACTTTTTAATAGTTCTATTAAGAAATAGTATCTGAATCTTTAAGTGGTGTATCTTGTTTGACAAAAGAAAAATCTATTTCTTAATGATTTTAAAATCTTCTGAATAATTTTGCATCATGAAATTTCTTTAACCATTCAACGCCCTAATTTTATTGTAAACAATTATATTTCATTTTGCACTATATCATGAAACATTCTGACTACTTAATCGTTATGCACTAAACCATTCAACAACTACCAAATAATCCCTTAATATTTAGAATTAAGAAATTTTATTTCATTTTTGTTTTGTTTCAGTGGCTGGCAATAAAAAAGAATCATAATAATGACGTAAGCGAGTAATGGGCACGTGGGATGGTGAAGGATGGCACATGACAGGTGGATGGGCTCTTTTACTTTAATGGGCTGGTGGGTGGCATGTGGGCCGGATCCGGACGTCAAGGAGAAGTTTTTCTTTACAAAAACACGGAACCGCGTAATTCCTCTGTCGACAACAAATATCTCCTTTAAAATAGTATTTCTTTATTTTATTAATCAGTTAAAATAATTCCATATTATAACATTTATGTATTTTCTAATTAAAAATAAAAATTAAGAACTAAAAGATATTTTGTGTTACTCATAAAACATCAGATGTATTATGTATAGGTTAGATTTCTATTAGAAAAAAAGTTAAGATAAAAAACGTAAAAAAGAATCTTCATCCTTAGATGCATATTAAGATGAGAAGAACCGGGATACACCGGATAATCCCTGCATCAAACACAACATATGATGAATTTAAAGTTAAAAGTTATTAAGAATACAGATCTCATTTTATATTTCTCGCATTAATACAGATCTCATTTTATATTTAAATTAGTTTATTGATTGATTATATAAAATTCAAATATTTTATTTATATTTATCTATACTATATTATAAAATATTTGACGAAAACTTTTAAAAATAATTCTTTATGCATGGAATACTATATATTAATTAAAATTTAAGATTACAAGTAAATTATGCGTAACTATAACTTATTAAAACTCCAGTTTTGAATTCGTATAACTAACTGCAGATGGACATAATTAAATACAAGATAAACATCTCAATTTTTATATTAAAAATCTAAAATATAATTAAGATAATTATTGAGTTCTACTAAAATCATTATCTTTATAAAATTTTATTGTTAAACCAAAAATAAATTACTTCACTAAATCGTAAAAACATTATCTTTCTCAAAACCACATAAATTTTATTATATCAACAAATACAAAAACTAAAACAAAATATAAATATAAAAATATATCTCGTTGAATTGTACGAGTACCCTTTTAGTTAATATAGAATAAGAATAATTAACAATTTAATTAATTCCATATAAAAATAAAAGTATATGAGGTTTTGGCAAGAAATAAACAAAATCAAATTGGTGTGTTTGCGTGGATCGAATATCGAAAAGTAGAAAGAGACACGTGTCCCCCTCTATCCCCCTCCCATCAAGGGTTATAAATTGTGGCTACCTCCGTCTTACAAAAATATCACAACCATTCGAATCAAATTGAACACAGAATACATAGTGAGTTAGAACTGAAATCGAAGCGAAGATGTCTGGTACAGCAACCTGCGTAGACATAATACTCGCAATCATCCTTCCTCCGCTTGGCGTCTTCTTCAAGTTCGGATGCCAGGTATATCTCTAGATTTCTTTTTGTTAGAAGGATCTGGAATTGGAAAGGCATAATTTGATCAACGACTGCTACTTGTTTTGTTTCAGATTATTGTTAAAATATAAGAAAATAACCTTCGAATATTTTTTTAAGAATCGTTTGATCGAGGACTGATTGAAATTGTTTGTAATTTGAAGCAAAATTTGAAATACGTTTGTAATTGATTGAAGTTATTAAAAAATGTCTCAATCTGATTTAGTATTATTATATATATAACAATAGAGAGGTAAAAATATCTGTGTGTGTTGGTTGCAGGTGGAGTTTTGGATATGCGTGTTGTTGACGTTGTTTGGATGGATCCCTGGGATTATCTACGCCATCTATGCCATCACCAAGTGATTCTTATGGTAATCCTCTTGCCTAATCTACAAATTTTCATTCTGCTCAATTCTTCGTGATCATGAAAAGAGTTTTGGATTTAAAAGTTAAGTTATTTATTTATTTCATCATGGCCTTCTGGAGAGATCTACTGTTTTCCTTTCTATTATCACTGTTTTTCGAAAAAGATACAACACAATTGAGCCATGATTTCACCTTCTTTCTAACTAACGTTGTTATAATTTGGTTGCAAATTGAACGTCAATCATACTCTCTTGTTTCTGTGAAGTGATAATCGATACCTTTACCCAACAACAGTACCATCAATATCTCGGACACATTTTCTGTAACTTTATTAAAGTAAAGAATCAAAACATAAAATTTCTAGAAACATATGAATCGGATCCTCTGTTTTAGAGATTTTAACATATATTATCATAATCTTCTCCCATTTGTCATTCCAATACATTTTCTAGAAATGTTTAATAAAAAATAATAATTTAATCTTATTGTTGGAATTGAATAAAATAATCAATTATATCAAGTTATACGCTTTGACCTTCTCCATAAATTTACGGACTTATAACTATTTACATTGTTTTAGGAGTAAAATACCTACGAGGTGAAACCATTGGGTTACTGTATTTGAGCATATAATTTTAGAGGTTATTGGTGATGATAGAAACGAAAGGAAGATGGAAGTTAATGATGGTTGGTTTTGTTTGGTTGTGTGTTAGGTGGGCAGGCTCACATCAAATCTTATCCGGATAAAACATTGAAGCTGGTGTCATTGCTGGTTAATAGTTTGTTTCTTTGTTTTTTAATTGGATGTCGCGGTTATTGTCTTCTTTTCGTAAATGTTTTACTTTTACTTGTGGTTTTGCATAGAGTTTGTCGTATGTTTGTGGTCCAGTTTTTTAATGTAAAAATACTTCTCCAATCTTCATCTTGCTTTACATTATCAAAATTATGTAATTCTTAATAGTAATACATTTTCAGTAGAACACAGCTTTTGACAATAAATATGTAATACTATCTTTTTTATTTTAAAAAAGAGTGAGTTTTTGTTTTTAAAACAGCTTCTGTTACCTTGTTATTTAAAATAGATAATCTTCAACTCAGTCCCTTTCTTAGAGTTGTTTGATAATTGCTGAATAATTTAGTACAGAATGATTAAGTGGTCAGAATGATTAAGAGACTCTAATAATATAATGTAAAATGAAATATAATTGTTTGGTAATTGTGTACAATAAATTTAGAGCTCTTAATGGTTAAGGGAGATCCAGAATACAAAATTATTCAGAGGGTTGTAAAATCATTAAAAGACAGATTTTTTTTTTGTCAAACAAGATTCACCTCTTTACGATTTTAAAGTTGCCTCTTAATGGAACTATTAATAGGTAAACAAACAACTTCTTTGTCTTTTTTTAAGTTGATGAGTCGTGTGTCGGGTAACCTTCCAACATGGTTCGGAGAGCACCTCCTTTTGTCGGGCGGTTGTGTGTGGGGGGTTGTGCCACCAGAAATCGGGCTTGAAGCTCTGATTTAATGAAAATCCAATGAAAGAGGTTTAGCAAACCTTTTATCATGGAAAAGATTATGAGTGTTGAGAATTCTCTAAAACTCGAGGGTGAGAGAGATAAATGATTATTTTATTCAATTCCATTAATAAGATTGAGTTATTATTTTTTTATCAAAAGTTTTAGTTGGGATGGTAAATTAGAGGACATAGTAATATAATTTTCGTTAAAATCTTTAGAATAGAAAATCTATTGGATGTAATTCTTTTTGAAAAATTTATATTTTTTGGTTTTCTATTTAAAAAAATTTATAGAAAAAACTATTGAAAATGTTCTAAATAATCAGTAAACCATATCAAATGAATCAGGAAGATCATTTTTATTAGATTCCTTAAAATTTCTGGGAAGGGAAAATTTAAAAATTCTTTAAAATAAATATATATTCAATTTCAATATATTTTTTATTCATTAAAATATTTATTATATATATTTTAAAGTTTTTAATTGATGATAGTATACTAAAAATATATTTCTCTTATGATAATCATTTTTCGGAATCTTCTAAATTTGACGAAGGTTAGAGAAATTGTTGTAGCAAAAAACTTATTTAAAATCTCTATTTTCTTAATTTCTGTTGGTGTAAACAACGAGTTTTGTATAGAATTTGGTATTATATGGGAGATGGTTTTATCGATGACAATAGCCTTTTTCTTGTTTATGACGGAATACACATATCATATTTCACTGTGTGAAACATGGTCATAACCCAAATAATATTATGAAAAATCATTATGTAAATGTAACAAAAATATAAATCGGTTTTTTCAATGATTAATTCAAAATAAAAAAACGAGGGATATAATTACAACTGTCTTTGTTGTGTTCAATTATTATTATTATTATTATTGATCCAATCTTATTATGTCGTTGTTTGTATAGAAAGTAAACTTGATGAGGACCAACCCCACCACGAGTTTCTATCATTGTTACGAATCATAACAAAAACGATGGAAATAATAGAAGTATCAGAACGTCGACATTTGAAAATTGAATGAAACCTTTGCATTTAAACATACCGCTCTCATTTGTAAGCAAAGTCAAAAGAGATATTTATGAGCCGTTTACCAAACGCTTACTCGGGTAAGTGAACACCAAGTCACATTACTTTATCGAATGAATATGATAATTACCAAGAATCTTACCTAGTAATAGTGAGATAAGGACCAAGAGTCTTGCCCGGTAAGTGAGGGCGACGACTTTTACCACGATAAGCGCTTATCAGGTAAATCATTGCATACGTTACCGTTTTGGTGGACTAAAATCTTACCCGATAAGTAAATAATAATGTTAAATCTTACCAGTAAGCGCTTATTGGAGAAGTGTTTGGTAAACAGCCCTTTAGTGTCTCAAGAATTGTAGTTTTGTTTTATTGTTGATATATCTAGTGAATCTACATCTTTTAAATAAGTGAAATTATCTAAAATTATCATTTTTTAGATATACTTTTATAAAATGACCAATTTTCAGAGAATTTTATAAAAGGAGCAGAAAAATCGTCTAGGTAAGACGATTTTACCTAGACGATTTTTGGCTCAAATAAGGCGATTTTTGGTCTTTGGTACAGATAAATCTCACATGCTTATTATTTGGGGACAAAAATATGATTTTTTTTTGAATAATTATTTGAAATTGCCCTGTAAATCGTCCACTAAGGAGGTTCTTGACCAAATTCAAAGGGGACATGATTTGACAAGTCTATGACACTAAATGTGACAGGTCTATGACAACTCTAGGGGTGGGACGATTTTTGATCATAAGAGGACGATTTTTGACAATAAAATGTGGTTTATATTTGGAGTGAGGGACCATTTTTTATTATATACAACATACGTACATTCTCTCCTCACCACCACCACCGCCATCTATTGTCACGGACCACTATCAATCGTCATGAACAACCACTATACACCGACATCCACCATCATACACCTCGCCGACGAATATCATCGTCATCCACCGCCGTCCGTCGTCGTCTACCATCGTACACTGACGTCACAATGTCCACCACCAACCGTTGACATCTACCATCGACCATCGATGTCAACCATCATACACCTCGTCGATGACCACCTTCATCCACCACCGTCTACCACCGATTATCTATCATAAAACCACATGTAAGACATTAAAAAATATTTTTTCATTTAATTTAATAATCTATTTTTGTTTAGTGTATTTATGTGCAACATTTAATATGTAAGAACTGTAGTGACATTGAGGGTACAAATATAATTTATAGATAAAATAAAGATAAATTAAGTGATAATCCAAAGAAGCTGTAAATGTTAAACAAACATGTTTCGACCCATGGTTAGATATACGTGCCTAACAAGGAGATCCCCCAATATGGTGCAATGTAAGAACCCCTTCTTCCCTTCTCAACCTGAAGAGCTCTATTATCATGTTAGAGAGTCGCGTTTCCGTTTTAGCAGAAAGTTTTGTCTGATTAGGGGCTTTCTATTTGGGCTGGTGTATCCACCATCACATTGTGCCATTCCCCAACTAAGACAAAATTATCGATAAAAAGACCAAAAATGTGGATATGAAAGTCAGAAATTTTAGGAATAAATTAATAGACTTAAACAATCCATCCATATAAGATGCTGATGTGGTGCATGCGTGCCTCATAATCATGTTTTGTACGGTATTTCTAAACCGAAAAATTCAAACAATGCTGTTGACTGGATTTTATATATGGTTGATGATTTCGATACCTGGAACCGCTATCCATAGGGCTCATATTGAAGGCGTCCTACATATAAACGACTGAGAAATGCGTTTTGGCGTCACAGGGAGACTAATTGGCCTTCCAAGAGTATATTGTTATAATTCATCAATCTCGAGGGCCTATTGATGGCAACGGTTGAAAAACATCAAGTGATCTGAGTGTTGCGAGTTCGACCAATTCGACAATGTTCGCTTTCATTTACTATAAATCAAAATTTGTGGAACCCAGATCTAACAGCAAATCAATATACAAACAGTAATTGAGAGATAGAGATGAAGATCATGAAGATGAAGAACCAACCAGTTTTATTTATTCATGAAAATAATAAAGTATGAAGCTCTCAATCACCTTACATGACTTATGGAAATTGTAATGAATGAACAAACAGAATAATCAACTCTAATTCTAAGCCCATGTCAATTTTACAAGTAAAACCCATTGCCTTTAAGCCTAATTACAAGAATATAACAATACAATACAAGTAAAGGACTTTATAGAACTTTCATAATACTTAGGACTATTTTAGTCCTAACATTCTCCCCCCCAAAAGTTTTATAAAGCAAACATATCTTGAAATCTTCAGGTCTTCTCCCCCCTGTTTTCTTTAAGAAAACTTTGGTGTGCCCGACATGAAAGAATCTTCAAGCTCCCCCCCTGAATATAGATCTTACTCTTTAAGTTTCAACTTTAAGATAAGATTCAATGTGAGTTCAACACCACTGATTGCACAAAGTACAAGTATAACTGCAGACAACTCAACACATCTTGATCCGTGGAATCATTGCCAATCCAGAAACAATAGATTCATCCAACTATAGGATAGATAAATATGCGAGCTTCATGACATTCCAGTGCAAACAGTCTTATGACAAGGAATCTTTCAGTGAACCACGAATTGAATAGGCATTCAGCTTGAGAACTTGATTTTGGTAAGCTCACAAATTGAGGTTTCAACACTAGCTTGAAGTACCAAAGCAAACACCACTGACACTAAGAAATGGAGATAAGTATCAACGTTAAGTTCATAGCTTCAAAAACAACAAGTCAACCAGACAGATAAGCCAATTTCCTTCAAACTTTCAGAAAACTTAATAATTGGAATTAGGTCCAAATTTCCCAGCCAGAAGAGTGATTATGAGCACTCAGAACTCTAGATCACAACCATAACATCATAATAATGATTGTAGACTTTCAAACCTCTGATTGATCAGGTTAGAAGAATAACTGAGAACACTCAAAGATCTGATAATTTCCAAAACCTCCAGAACACTGATTGCAAACCTTCAAGACCTAACCACATGGGTGGTGCCTGATTGGTTTGAGCTTGGCTCCAAAGGTCAAAAGTTTATGGAGGTCCCAGGTTCAAATCCATGAAAGAACAAAATTCCCTTGTGGCCACAGAGGTTCAAATGTGGTGACTCCGGTCTACTTGTAAAGTAGGTGGTCGCCTTGGAATTTGTCGACTCGCTTAGCCGGTTGGATATCCAGGTTAATCAAAAAAAAAACCTTCAAGACCTCTGATTGATCAGGTCAAAAGAAATGAGTGAATGCACTCAATGGTGTAGCTCTTTAGAAAAACTCCAGAGTAACGATTGTAGATACTCAAACTCTAGCTATTCCAATCAAATACCAAAACCGATCAAACATTTCTGAAATCCTTTCAAATTCGGCTTTAAACTTTAATCCCAAATTGATTAACCAAAAAGTCAAACTTT